CCATGAAGAGTTTTAGGTCATTTTATGCTGGAAGACTCGTCAATGTTCATTCTTCAGTGTTCTGAGGGGAGAAGGCCCTCCTGCCTTCAGCCACATTTAGCTTTTTGATAACATTTAGCTTTATTCAGACATAAGCTAACATTTTGTTACAATCTGCTTCTAGCTAACTTCTTCCTACATTTAGGCTTTAGCTAACCTGATGCTATACTTAGACTTTAGCTAGAATTTAGTCTTATTTAGACCTTAACCTTAGACATTTATCTAGCTTTTTGCTCATTCTTTTGGCCTTTTTTGCTACATTTGGCTTTTAGCCAGCATTTGTTTAAAAATTCAATTAACTTATACTTTAGCTATTCATTCAGCCTTTACCAATATTTTTGCTACTTTTGTCCTTTAGCTAGCATGTTGCTACTTTTAGCCTTTAGCTAGCCTGTTGATACATTTAGCCTTTAGCTAGCCTTATGCTATATGTAGTTTTAAGGTTGAATTTAGTCTTATTCAGTAATTAGCTAGCATTCACACTACACTCACTACATTCGGCTTCTAGCTACCTTCTTGCTAGAATTTTGCTAGTATTTAGCTTTATTCAGACCCTAGCAGCATTTAGATAGCTTTTTTATATAACTTTTGGCTTTTAACTAGTCAACTACTACATTTAGCCTTTGGTTAGAAATTTGCTTCATTAAAATTTTAGCTAACCTTTTGCTACATTTTGGCTTTCTAGCCTCATGCTATATTTGGCCTTTAGGTTGAATTTAGTTTTATCCTGACATTAGCTAGCATTATTGTTACATTTGGGCTCTAGCTAGCCTATTGCTGTATTTAAGGTTTTAGCTAGTCTGATGCTATATTTAGACTTTAGCTGGAATTTAGCTTTATTCAGACCTTAGCAAGAAGTTTGCATTTATCTAGCTTTTTGCTATTACTTTTGGCCTCTTTTGCTACTTTTGGCTTTTAGCTAGTCCTCTGCTACATTTAGCTTCTGGCTAGAATTTTGCATTTAAACTTTAGCAAGCCTTTTGCTGCATTCAAGTTTTAGCTAGTTTTTTGCTACTTTTGTTTTTCCTTCATGTTCTACAGAAGCCTGGAAGGAACAAGGCTTTCACCACATTGTTACAGCAACTAATATAAAAGAAGAAAGACTTTAAATTGAAGCGGTCCAGAATCATGATGGAGTTTTGAAA